TCAAAATGCAAGACTTGTGGGGCTCATAGAGTTAAATTTCAATGCTGTAACTTCCATATTTGCATTCCCTTTTCCTTCCCACAAGTCGCAGAAAGTGTAGGTATGGGAGAGGAGGAAGAAGTTGGAAAATTATCCAATACCAGGAACTCCTTAGGGTGGCATTATGGAGGCATCACAGGAATGTGAGAGGACAGGAGGGAAAGGCAGGCAGAGGCATGACCAAAAAAGTGATGGGAGCATGCCTCCTTTATAATTTTGCAAAGCCTTCTTGATTTTGTGCCTTAAAAATGAAATATTTCATAACAAAACCTAATTAATGTTTGAATTATGACCTGACCTATGGGGACAAAAGTATGGTAGGCAGAATAATGCCCTTCTGCAAAGAACACCATGTCCTAATCCTCAGTCCCTGTGAATATGTTATCTTATGTGGCAAAGAGACTTTGCAGATGTGATGAAGTTGAGGATGTTGAGATAGGGAGATTATCTTGGGTCACCTAGTTGGTCTTAATGTCATCACAAAGGTCCTTACAAGTGAAAGTGGGACAGAGTCAGGGGGAAGTGTGCTGCTGGTTTTGAAGGTGTAGAAAGGGGCCATGAGTGGAGAAATGCAGACAGCCTCTACAAAAGGCTGGAAAATGCAAGGGAATAAATTATCCCCAAGAGGTTCCAGTAAGGAACAGTTGATTTTACCCTGGTATCATGACATATTTCTCACCTACAGAGCTTTATAACAAAAAATATGCATTGTCATAAGCAGCCAAGTGTAGTTATTTGTTACAGTTCCTACAGAAAACTTATAGAAAAGCAAATGCAGTGCATCAAGCACTTTATGGGAAGACCTAAGTGGGACACCCAACATAAACTGGGGAGCTCAGGGAAGGTTTCCCTATACATAGGAAATCAATGGAAAAGGAGTTTCCAGGTCAAAGAGGAGGAGAAAGAACATTCTGGTCTATGGAGTCAGGGTGGTGGTGAGACAAGAGCAACAAAAGGAATAAGGTAAGAAACAAGAGTTGGTTTGGAACACCACAAATCATCCAGCCTTGTTGAAAAACAATGTGGCAAGAGATGAAGCAGGAGAGGTGGATGGGGGAGAGCAGAGCAAATTCTCTCCCTGGGGAAGGGTTTAAGTTTTCAATAAGAGCTCATGGGGGAGGCAATGAAATGTTTTAAAGAATGGTGTGTGTTTGTGTTTGTGTGTGTGTATGTGTGTGTGTGTATGTGCATGTGTTAGAGGACGGAATGACAGTAAAATTTGCATTTAAAATTACATGTGTGTGTGTATAGACACACACACATATATTTTAAATGCAAATTTAAAATAATATTAAAATAAAATAATTTTAATACATTTTAAATGCAAATTTTAAATAAAATAAAGTTGCACTAAATACACACACACACACACACACATATACACAAAACTTTCCCTTTCAGCAAATAATCCCTGAACAGAAGTAAACAACAGTGATTTCAAATATGAACGTGGGTCCAAATGCCACAAGCCACAGGCTCTCAATATCACAAGGCAGGGTGTTAGATTTACAGTTAGACTCTCTTTCAACGTGGGTGACAATTCGTAGTGTTCTTCAGGAGGGGAGACTGCATCTGCTGCATTCTTCTGCACCCTCAATCCCTCCTCTTTTTAGTGGAGTGAGTAGGAGAGGGATTTATTCAATGAGGGCACCCTGGGTGGTTTGGGGATGCTTTAGTCCCCACCTAATCTCTATCAGACCCAACCAAAGCCACTCCAAACATTACGTAATAGTAATACTTTTCCTTAATGTGGATAATCTTAAAAGTGAGAAGATATACAGCTCTAGAAAAATTTTAAATGGTTTGTACATATGCTATCATAAAAATAATAATCAAAGCAACAGCTGTAAGAGAAATCCATAAACATGAATCCCCACCTCATCCCTAACCCCCCAATATCCAACCTCTGAGAAACACCACTGGAGTTTTAAGTTAATAAATAGTTTATAGATTCTCCTGAGCTTCCCTCTGGAGGTTGCCAATATATTGTGACTCCACACTCTCATGAACTCTGAGTTTTCTCTGCTTCCCTCCACAAAAGATTTATTATAGTTACCGAGGGAATAGTCTATTTGCAGAACAATGAAATAAAATTATGATTTCATTCTAATTAGAATGACCACTTTCACTTAAAGCCTCCCCTCCCCCTGCAGAAACGTACACAAGAATCTCAACTTCATCTCTGACCTTGTCGATTTCTTCTGGGATACTGTCTTAGTTCCAGGGGCTGTAACAAAATAACATAGACTGGTGTTAAACTGGCTTAAACCAGTTATTTATTTCTCACAGTTCTGGAGGTTGGGCAGTCCAAGATCAAGGCACTCGGAGATGTGGTGTCTGTGGGGGCCTGCTTCCTGGTTTGCAGATAGCTGCTTTCTTGCTGCGTTCTCACATGACAGAGATCTTGTCTCTCTCTCTCCCCGTCTCTTTATTTGAGACAGAGTCTCACTCTGTTGCCCAGGCTGCAGTTCAGTGGTACACTCTCAGCTCACTGTAGCCTCTACCTCTTAGGCTGAAGTGATCCTTTCACCTCAGCCTCCTTGAGTAGCTGGGACTACAGGAGTGTGCCACCATGCTCAGCTAATTTTTGTACATTTTGTAGAGATGAGGTTTTGCCATACTGCCCAGGCTGGTCTCAAACTCCTGGACTCAAGCGATCCACCTGCCTTGGCCTCCCAAAGAGGTGGAACTGCAGGCATGAGTCACCATTCCCAGCCGTTTGTCCCTTCTTAGAAGGGCACTAAAGCCCATTCATGAGTGCTTTACCTTCATGACCTAATTACTTCCTGAAGAGCCCACTTTCACCACTACATTGGGGATTAGGATTCCATTATATGAACTTTTATGGGGGAACACAAACCATTCAGTCCATAGCAGATATGGTGAGACTTAGGTATGAAATGTTTTCCTTTAACTTTTACTTTTGTTGCCATCTTTGTTAAAAATAGTTGAAAGATAGAAAATGACTTAGCTCTGCAGTTCTGGAGGACTCACTGGTACTCCACTGCATCCTGTGTTTACCCAGCTCAACCCAAGCTAATGGAGAAGTATATTTCCTTCTCCAGGAAGGGTCAAGGCCAGGAAGAGAGGTGGACAGGTCTCAGAAAGCAGGCGGTGTCAAATGCTGAGCAAAAGCCAAGCTCAGAAGGAGGAAATGTAGTGTTTATGGAACCAACTTGCAAATGCAAACATGAGCAAACCAAGGCAATGTAACAAATGATCCTCAACAGCTGGATTTCTTCAGTGCTGAAACTTATAATAAACATCCATGGCTATCTTTGCAACATGATTTGTCTGTAAATATACATACATCTATTTAATAGAACCACAAGGATTAGTTAACAAAAAATTGCCTAAGAACCATCAACTTTCACTTCTCCAATTGGGTCACAATCTACAAGTTAATCTGTTAGTAAAAAAAAAAATAAATAACTTTTCTCTCTAATTGTGGTGGGAATCAGTAATTGTAGGATTCCCAGGAAGATTCTGAAAAGCCCTTGGATATTGAAGGATTTGGATTGCAGTTTTCTCAATCTGTTAAATGTTGAGGAGGGGGGTGGAGAAAATACACCTTTTTTTCCCCCCACAATCCTAAAAGTTTATTAACTTTCAGAGAGACACAGGAGCCAACCTGAAAGAGTTCCCAGTGGTCAAAGCTGGAACCATCTGAGCAACAAAATTAATAATGTAGTATTGAATTCTAGCCAAAAATATAAAATAAATATACATGGGTCCATATTGACATAACAAATACTGAAATAAATGATTGAATAAACAAGAGAGATGGAACAAATCTTCCTTACAGAATAATTCTAAATAATAATATATGGATACTCCCTCCTCTGGGATGGAGTTTAATCTTGCCCTCATCTTGAGTGTGGGTTGAATGGAGTCATGCCATTCAGAGTAGAGTGTATGGAAAGAGAAAAACAGCTTTGCAGTAGATAAACCTGGCAGACACAACCTTAACTAAGGGATCAAGGTCAAGTCACCAGTGATAAGTCACGTGGCCATCGTGCCATCATCCCTGAGAGGATGAGATGGGAAGGCACTTCATATCTGAGGCTTTCCTCCCCCAAGTCTCATCATGAGAAGAAAACAGTAGACAACACCCATATGAGTGGGTGTCGAGGTACCCCCACAAAACTATACCTTACCAGAATACTTTATCACAATACTTTACTAGAATTCCTTACAGCTGTCGAAGTCAAGAAAAGACAGAGAAACTATTATGAATTAGAGGAGACAAAAGACACAGGAAGTTAAATGCAGCATGGTATCCCGGCCGGGATCCTGAAAGGGAAAGGGGTTAGCCTAAAAGCTAGTGACAGCTACATCAAGTCTGGAGTAGTGTTAATAGTGGCAGATCAATGTTAATTTCTTTTTAAAAATATTTTTAGTAGAAATGAGGTCTCGCTGTGTTGCCCAGGCTGGTCTCGAACTTCTGAGCTCAAGCAATCCTCCTGCCTGCCTTGGCCTCTCAAAATGCTGAGATTACAAGGCGTGAGCCACCGTTCCGGGCCCAGTGTGAATTTCTTAGTTTTGACAAATGTGCCATGGTTGTCGAAGCTGTAGGCATTAGGAGACACCGACTGAGGGGTATATAGAGGACTCTCTCTACTATCTTTGCAACTTTTTTGAGTTCCAAAAGAAAGTTTTTAAAAAAAAAAACAACAAAAAAATGCACTTGTACGCCATAAATTTATACTAAAAACAATAAAATCAAAGATTATTTAAAAAACAAAAAAGTTTATAAACTTAGGGTGCAAATAGAAACTTCTTGAAAAGCAGCAGCCGATCCCCTCCCCCAACCCGCCTGTACAGCACCCTAGCGAGGGGTGTGAGGGTCACAGCCTGGCTCTCCCGCGATGGGCGGGCGCGTCCAGCCGCGACTCCTCCCCGGAGCCTCACCGGCGCCGGACTCTGCCCTGGGCGCGCCCCGCGGGGCGGAGCCAAACCTGCGGGCGGTGGCGGCTGCACTCCCAGGACCCTGGCAACCGACCCTGGCCCCAGGGCCCGATCACCCAGGGGAGGAGCAGCACCGGGACCCCGTGCCGGCTGGGCGCCCCCCAAGGTAGGCGAGTCCGAAGGTAGGGATCTTCGGGCCCGGTCCCTGCGGCGCGCCCCCGCATCCCCTCCAGGTATGTGGGTGTCCAGGTGTCTTTCCAGCGGCTTCCCCAGCGGAGCTCCTGGCATCAAAGACATTTCCTGTAAAAGGGTCCTTGGTGAAGAGGTAATCCTTCCTGAAAATCTAGGTTCTGGGCTCGAATTTCCTGGGCGAGAAGTTTCTTCTCCACTGGGAAGAGTTACTTTTTTTCCGCAGAGAGGAACCCCTACTTAACCCGGCGCACACCTGATTATTTATTTAGGTTGTTGTTATACAATCCGTTTGTCAGGGGTCCCCGCGATTTCTGCCTGCTAATTTCAGAGGCTGTGGAGAAAAGTCCTGCGGTAAACGCCCTGACCTGGGAACTCCAGCGTGGTGACTTTGACAGGTCACTGCGCTCGTATTTTTTAAACAGCAGAGATGAATGAGGGTGGCTGTCTTCATTCATTTGTCCGGGCTTCCGCAGCTGCAGGTGTAGTTAAAAGAACAGCCCATTGCTTGACCGTTTCCTTCATGTTGAGTAGGCATCATGAGATTTTAGAGCTGGAAGTTACAGAGTGCTAGGCAGCTAGACAAAGGAACACTTACCTTACTAAAGACTAGTATGGGACCGTGCAGGTGTAGTTTTTAGACTGGATGATAACATAGCTGTGAATTTTCAGCCTTTTTGGAAGTGAAGACAAAATTGAATATAAGGATCAGAAAAAGCAACAAGCCCTGAAGCTAACTGAAGCTGCGTCTGTTCCCCATTATATTCTAATTGTTTTATTTTAGGAATCAAAACCTCTTTTACTTTCTTGGTGTATATAGATCGGATGAAGTGTCAGAATACAAAAAGGAATTATTCTGTGTTTGTGATAGAGAGGAGATAATCTGTCCTTTTGATTTTACCTAATGCTATTAAATATTCAGAGCTACTGAAGTCCGGTTTTCCTGAAATGTGAGCTGGGCAGGAGTGTCAGGTACCCTGGCAGACACAATTGGTGCTGTTGTTACGCTTTTCCCCTGCTGCCCACTCCCTTCTCCACCGCACTCCCAGTTTGAGTGAAGGCCCTTGACACAGAGGAATTTCTGCCCAAGGCAGGGAGTGTCCCCGTGTGGTTCCTCAAATGTTTAAAGAAAGAATGAAAACAACTATACTTCCTGGGACCCGGGCTGACGTCACAAGGCCAACGTCATAAGAAGGTTCTTACCTCTTGCTATTTACAAAATAAATTGATCCCTTGTCCTAACTAGAAAGAGACTTTTGAAATTAATACTGATGCTATTTTGTGAATTACGGATAGGCATGTTATTTGTTAGCTTATTTGTTTATAGTGTGCTCAACACTGAAGGTGAGTTGTAATCCAAATTTTGGCCAAAGCTAAAAAACGTAAGCTAAATTTAGACAAAGCTGAAAAATGAGGTGTATGTTTGCTTGGAATAATGACTGAAAAGGGAAATAACTGAAGATTTTGGTGGGAATGTAAAAGTCTTTTAAAGTAGTAGTTTCTCATCTTTTGAACTGAGATATTTACATCAAAATTATATGGCTATTTATTGACTGAAAATATTTCATAATGGCAAAATTTTACCATGAATTTACTAACATGTTTAAATGAATGTCATTTACTAAAATGACATTCAAAAACAGCCATTTATGTGGGTTTGGAAAACGAGAGAGAGAGAGAGATTGTGTGTGTGTGTGTGTGTGTGTGTGTACATTCAGTTTTAGAAACTATTTGGTGCATCTGTAAATTTGTGGGCCTATTCATGTAATCACTAAAACAATATTTATTGAGGGCACTGTGTTCTGTGTGAGAGAACCAGATGGGAGGGGAAGAAGGTCTGGGCCAAACACAGCCCTGTGTAAATAAGACACAGTTCTGTCCTCCTGGAATTGACTACATTGGAGTCCTCCAGGCCACCCCAAGTCAAGGCCATAGATTTACAGACCACAATGATCCATTCAATTTTGACCGTGACTGAAACCAGATTAGTTTCGAATCACATATTTCCTTAAATTGATTTAAATAGTCAAATCTAAAAATGATAAAGGAGCTTGTGTGTTATTCTGGTCAGTGGTTTTCTCTTTTGTTTAGGTTGGGGAAGAACTTAGGAATCATGTGTTTCAGGCTTAATGCTATGAAATATTAACTTAAAATAGCTAAGTATCAATTTCAAGCAAATTAAATAAAAACTAAACTTGTAGTATGGATCACAATAATCTAGAGACAAAAATTAATAAACAAAAAATTTAAAACGGAAAAAAAATCTATCCATTAAATTATTTTTTTGCTATAAATTAGAAAAATATGACTATAATTAGATTTTCCCCCTGGAGGAAAACAGCCTCTTTATTCAAGTTATTCTTACTTTTCCTTCTGTTTTTTTTTTTTTTTTAACAGCTTTATTGGAGATATAATTTACGTACCATGAAATATATATAAGTGTTTCAATGATTTTTGGTAAATTTATTGAATGGTGCAACCATAAGCACAATCCAATTTTATATCATTTCATCATTCCTCAAACATCCCTGGGACCTGTTTGCAATCACTCACCATTCTTACCCCAGCCCCAGACAACCCCTAGTCTATTGTGTCTGTTTAGATCTGCCTTTTCTGGACATTTCATACAGATGGAATCGTACAATATATAGTCTTTAGCATCTGGCTTTTTTCAGTTAGAATAGTTGTTGAGATTTATTCAGGTTGTCACATGTATCTGTAGTTGGTTCCTTTTTATTGCTTGACTAGGGTTTATTCCATGCCATGGCTATGCCACATTTTGTTCACCATTTAGTAGACGTTTATGCAATTACATTTGCATGGTAAAACAGATACGTTGGTGCAGCTTCCATGGTAGCATAATGTGAGAATAACTGATGTGAGCCAGCCTCTTATTTGGTGCTTTGACTCTCTTCTATGATAATTTTAAATATGAATGCCAAGAGTTAAACATCTGGGTTCCTATTAAGCAGTGGTGTTTTCTGCGTATAACTGTCTAGAGAACAAACCAACATTAAGAACTTCTTAACTTGGCTGGGCCTGTAATCCCAGCACTTTGGGAGGCCAAGCTGGGCGGATCACGAGGTCAGGAGTTCGAGGCCAGCCTGACCAATATAGTGAAACCCCATCTTTACTAAAAATACAAAAACTAGCCGGGCATGGAGGCATGCGTCTGTAATTCCAGCTACTCAGGAGGTTGAGGGAGGAGAATCGCTTGAACCCAGGAGGCAGAGGTTTCAGTGAGCCGAGATTACACTATTGCACTCCAGCCTGGGTGACAGAGGGAGACTCGTCTGAACTTCTACCTTTCTCCAGCAATTTGGGAGGCTGAGGCGGGTGGATCACCTGAGGTCAGGAGTTGGAGACCAGCCTGGCCAACATTGTAAAACTCCTTCCCTACTAAAAATATTTTTTTAAAAATTAGCTGTGTGTGGTGGCGTGTGCCTGTGATCCCATCTCCTCGGGAGGCTGAGGCAAGAGAATTGCTTGAGCCTGGGAGGTGGAGGTTGCAGTGAGCTGAGATCTCGCCACTGCACTCCAGCCTGGGCAACAGAGCGAGACTCTGCCTCAAACAAACAAACAAACAAAAAGAACTTCTTAACTTTGCAAGAACATTGACTTTTGGTATACCTCTATTAGGAATCAGGAAACTGGAATAGCAGTTTCCCGCCAGAATTGTTTTCTTATATATCTCCATTGATCTTCCTTTGTGCTATTATGGCAAATGCATTTTGGGGGTGGGGGCGGGTCATGTTTGACAACTTATGCTTAAATATCCTCTTAGGGAGATTTCTGTAGTTGAACAGAAATCCTTTTATAAAAATCTAGTCAGTTCTGTGAGCCTAAAAAGAAGACAGTGTCTCTCTGAATGCCTTTAAGTTCCTACTCAAATTGCAAGTTTCTTTTGGGGGAAAAAAAAAGAGCATCAAAATAACTTGAGGTCTGTTTTTGTGTGTATGTGTGTTTCAAGACAGGGTCTTATTCTGTCACTCACGTGAGAGTGCAGTGTCAGGATCCTAGCTCACTGAAGCCTCAAACTCCTGGGCTCAAGTGATCCTCCTTCCTCAGCCTTCTGTATGGCTGGGACTACAGGAACGTGGCACTACGCTTAGCTAATTAAATTTTTTTTTTCCACAGATGAGGTATCACTGTGTTACACAGACTGGCCTCCAATTCCTGGCCTTAAGCAATCCTTCCACCTTGGCCTCCCAAAGTGCTGGGATTACAGATGTGAACCACTGTGGCCAGCTTTAGAAGTCTATTTTATGGGCAATTTAGAATGCAAAAGATTTTTTTTTAACATCTACAATTTGAAAAGAAGATAATGTAGGTTAAATAATATAGTTTTCCAAAGCTGAATGTCTTCATTTGCAACACATTTTTTTCTGCTGGAAATGTCAAAACAACTTCCTAAAACTCCTAGGTGAGAATACTACTACTGTTTTGATGATCTGTGTGTGATTGGATGGAGTAATCAATCTCGATTGGTAATACACCTTTGTTTCCTTGATAAAATTTTTAAAATTCTAAAACAAATGCATTTTTTTTTAGCCTTATACTGATGATTTTATACCAAGTATCTCCTAAGAGGTATTTACCATCTACAGGAATCCACCTTCATCATTCTCACTTTCAAATACTCCAGGGATCAGATTAGGGCGGAGACATTCACCAAGCTATGTTGGTTTATCAAGAGAAAGAAGGCTTGATTGGTATTGAAGTGTAAGCACCTGCTATTTATTTTGATGAGGTCACTTACGTTGTTGTGATCTGATACAAGGAACTTAGTTTTACCCAAAGTGGGAGGCTGCCTCTGACACTTCTGTCTTTCTATAAACACCTGGAATTTGGTAGGACGCTGCTCTTGGATACGTCAAACATCTTCATGGTGTGGGAGGGTGGGCGATGGTATTGATGAAAAGTAGGGTCATGGCCGGGCTTGGTGGCTCATGCCTGTAATCCCAGCACTTTGGGAGGCTGAGGTGCGTGGATCGCCTGAGGTCAGGATTTTGAGACCAGTCATAGGCAACATGGTAAAACCCCATCTCTACTAAAAATACAAAAATTAGCCAAGTGTGGTGACATATGCCTGTAGTCCCAACTACTCGGGAGGCTGAGGCAGGAGAATTGCTTGAACCTGGGAGGCGGAGGTTGCAGTGAGCTGAGATTGAGCCACTGCACTCCAGCCTGGGTGACAGAGTGAGACTCTGTCGAAAAAAAGAAAAGAAAAGAGAAAAGCAGGGTCCTGGCTGTTTCAGACCCTGAATAAGTAGACATTTTCATCATTGATCCAACAGTGTATATGCAGATGGACAAATATGAAGAATGAAAACATATTGTGATCTAGAAAGCTATTAGAAAAGGAATGGATAGATGAGAAAAAAAGTTCTAGGTTCATGAATTAGATTTAAAGTTTGTTGGAAATATTCTTATATTTCCTATGTATTATTATATATTTCCTTCTACTTTATCACCTTTAATAAACAGGCTTTCCTTGTTTCTGTCATACTGAATGCTAAGTTTAATTGACTAGTCATGTAGCATGAGCTAGAATCAACAGCCCAGTTGCCTGTTGTTTTTAACAACACTGATTCCATTGCTATCTATCTATCTCTCTATATGTGTATATATATAGATATATATATTTGATCATTTACACTGTTTTGGGGGTCAAGAATTTGAATGAAGAAAAACAAATCCAATTAATTTTGGCTTCCAGTTACTTCTGATAAAATCAGTGGAGGTTCTTGGATTTTGAAATCTCAATTATGCATTGCTTTTTCTAGATCCTGCCAGATTACTATTTTTTTTAAATAATATGTACAAATTCATCTTTTTCAGTGTAGAGTATTGTAAGTTTTGGGAAATTGTTATAGTCATAGAACCATGATCACTAACAAGATATATTCCCCCACCCCAAAGTCCTACGTATTCCTTTTGTAGTCAACCTGTCTCCCACTGCCAGTCCCAAGTAACCACTAATCCCTTTTGATTCCTACAGTTTTTACTTTTCTAGAATGTCAAATAGATGGAACCATAGAATATGTAACCCCTTGAATTTGGCTGTTTCAGTTAGCATGATGCATTTGACACTTATCTATGTTGTTGTGTGTATCCCGTAATTCATTCCTTTTTTTTTTTTTTTTTTTTTTTTTGAAACAGTCAGACTCTGTCGCCCATGCTGGAGTGCAATGGCACAATCTCAGCTCACTGCAACCTCTGCCTCCTAGGTTCAAGCGATTCTTGTGCCTCAGCCTCCTGAGTAGCTGCGATTACACATATGCCCCGCCACAACTGGCTAATTTTTGTATTTTTAGTAGAGATGGGGTTTCGCCATGTTGGCC